CTATGGCTTCCCATCTGCAGCAATCCTTGCCAGTAACTGGAACATGCAAAGTGCCAAGTAATTCTGAAATAGCAGAGTCAAACAAATGGTGCCAAATGACTAGAGCATACGATGTTCTCAGTTTCTCCAAATGTGACTCTCAGCCACCTGAATCAGAATCAGAAATGAGATTTGTTAAAAATGCAGGTTTTAGGTCATTATTCTAGAAAATCTGAGCCAGAATTTTTTGGAATGGGAACATGGACTAGATTTGCATTTTTCTTAAGCTCTCAGGGTCATTTTCATTGACACTTAAGATTAAGACTCCTTTCATTTCCCTTACCAACTGCATCTAGATCAGTGGTTCTCAACCTTCTGGCCCTTTAAATACAGTTCCTCATGTTGTGACCCAACCATAAAATTATTTTCATTGCTACTTCATAACTGTAATGTTGCTGCTGTTATGAATCATAATGTAAATATCTGATATGCAGGATGGTCTTAGGCGACCCCTGTGAAAGGGTCGTTTGACTGCCAAAGGGGTTGCGACCCACAGGTTGAGCACTGCTAATCTAGATGTGTTACCTTTTTCACTCCCTAACATCTTTTTTATTAATCAACTCTTTATTCCCTGCTTCTGACAAGGAATCATTTTTGTATCACTAAATACACTGGCTTGCTTGTCTCCTGGCCCTATATACCTTCAGTTGAACTCTATACATTATAGCCAAGGTAAAATTTCAAACTTAGATCTCTCTTAATATAACAGACAAAACTATTTTCCCCACAAAAATACTCAGTCATCAACAACAGGCAGTGTGACTGCAAATTATTGTTTGTGTGTGTTGTTTTAGCAGAATACTATGTTATTTATAAAGCATCATGAAACAATATTTTCAATTGCATCACAGGAACTGGGAGCAAGTTTCCTGGGAGAAAATGTTATATTTTGCTAGTGTAATATAATATTACAATTTTTGGTACATATGTCTATTTAAAAGATAAATTGTCAAACTAAGTATAATTGGTGTTTCTGATTTTTTTCAATTAATAATGATAATACTTGCGCATTTACTTCTTTTCAGTTGGCTTGCACAAACATTGTACCAAGCACTCAAAATTTAAAACAAGTAGGGAGAAAAATTATTAGAACATGAAATATAAATCAATTTACTTAAATTAATTTGCATACTGGAAAAAGACCAACGTTATTCTAATTTATCAGGGAACTCTGATAACTGTCAGATATGAGTCTTTCATGGAAATATAATTAAAAACCATTGGCCTGCTGAGTAAAATCTAAATCTCACAGTGGTACTGAATGATAATTTTGTATATTAAGCATTGTGTACCAAGTATAGTGTTATCAAATGTTAAACAATTATCTTTGTTTTATTCTTACACACACAAAAAAACCTTTGTTATTATTCCTACTAGAGGTCCGGTGCATGAAATTCTTGCACAGGTAGGGTCCCTAGGCCTGGCCGCCAATCAGGGCCTTCCAGCTTCCGGCCTGGGCCTTATTTCATTCCATACCGCCCCCTGGTGGTCAGCATACGTCATAGCAAGTAATCAAGCTCCCGGTCTCCTGGTAGAACTCCTGAGGGGACACTTTGCATATCAGACTTTGATATATAGACTAGAGGCCCGGTGCATGGAATTCATGTATGGGGCAGGGGTCCCCTCAGCCCAGCCTGCACCCTTTCCAATCCACCCTTGGGGGATCGGGCCTAAACTAGTAGTCAGACATCCCTCTCACAACCCTGGACTGCTGGCTCCTAATCGCTCACCTGCCTCCCTAACTGCCTCCCCTCCAGCCCCCGCCAGCCTGATCGCCCCTTACCATCTGCGTGCTGGACTGATTGCTCGTAACTTCCCTCCCTGCCGGCTGCTGGCCAGGTTGCCCCCAATTGCCCCCCTCTGCTGGCCTGGTCACCCCTAACTGCACCCACTGCTGGTTCAGTCGTTGATCGTCCCTCACTAACCCCCTGCCGGCCTGGTCTTAGGCAGCCATCTTGTGAGGGTGTGAGGATCAATTTGCATATTACCTCTTTATTATATAGGATTCCAGTTTTACAGTTAAGGAAACTGAGACACTGAGTAATTAATTTGGTGGAAACACACATGGGTAATAACAATAGAGCTGGGCAGTGAATCCAGACAGTTTAGCAGCAGAGGTGAGATATACCCTGCTACATTTTATCTTCTCCTAATAAGTGTTTTCATGATTTGAGTCTAGCTTATTCTCAATCAAATAGTGCTAGGATAATGTTGCATAAATAATAATCTATAAGATCCCAGTGTCATATAGCAAATAAGCATTTATTTCTCATATGTCTTTAGTCAAACTGGGATTGACTGATTTAAGCTGAACCCTTTATAGGCTTGGTTCCAGACCACAGGTTTAGTTCAGCCTTACACCAGGCACCTCTCATTTTCCTGGGATCGGAAAACTATCTCGGTCATGTACATCTCAAGTCTAAGATCAGAACTTCTGGGGCAGAGTGGATGAGGGGAAGCGGAAGCAGGCTATGCATAAAAAGAAATGAGGAGCCATGTGTGTTGCTTTTAAAAACAAACAAAAAACAACAACAAAAAAATAGCCCTAGCCAGTTTGGCACATTGGATAGAGAGTCAGCCTGTGGACTGAAGGGTCCTGGGTTTGATTCCAGTCAAGGGCACATGCCTGGGTTGCGACCTTGATCCCCAGTAGGGGTCATGCAGGGCAGCCAATCTCTCTCATCATGGAGGTTACTAACTCTCTTCCCCGCTCCCTTCCTATCTGAAATCAATAAAGATATATTTAAAAAATAAAAATAAATAAAAAACAAACAACAATGAAAATAATTGGTTATCCCCAAACCACATTTATCTCCTGTATGCCCTCTTCCACACACTCCGCTCCCACCTCATGCCTATGACATAAATCTCACTGGAGACAGGTTTGAC